ACGTAGTACTATTGCTTTTTAACTTGTCTCGTTCTGCAGACGTTTTCTAAAAGCCTCCTCCTGTTGTTGACATCCTAGGGACAAAGGAGCGGTCGTATCGTCTTGTTCTGGATGTAAGAAGTTCGACATGGCTAGGATAGTAGGCCGAAGTCAGGCGGGTCGGTCTGGCAGGCACATCTGGCCGAGGCATCATGCAGGAGAGCGTTGAGGAGCAAACTCCTTTGATGTAGCAGGAGAAGGCAGCTAGATTGCTAACGTCTCGCGAATACGCAAGGTTCCTTAAGCTGTCTGTTGGAGAAGTATCACTGATCAGTCGGTCAGCCGTCCTCTGGTCGGCATTGAACGTAAATAATGTAGTGGGGGTCCTATCTGGGCCTTTTATAGGGTGACGAGGTCATGTAGAGAAAAGTACTTCTTAGCCCCAAAGAAATAAGCGAAACTTTTTCCCAGCAGCTACCGCTACTGACGAGATGTGCTCGTGCCAGATCAAGTCCTCGGGGATCTGGACTCCGAACAGCCAAAATAAACGACTCTTTGGCAGAACTCGATCATCCATTGGAACCGAACGCTTTTTGCTCGTCAAGCTACAGTATTGTATTTTAGAAGCTTTAAACTGTGATATGTAGGAGCCAAGACCGATCACTGGGGAACACCCCCGTTGACGTTGTGCGATGAAGAGGGGAACCTGTCAATTCCGATGGATATCTTGCAGCCAGAGAGAAAGACAGTTACCTATCTGCAAAGCTCCTCTGGGATACCGTAGGATGGAAGTTTGTATAAGAAGGCAGTGTGCCACAGCTAATCGAACGCTTTCGTGATATCAAGAGCAGCCACATCAGCATGTACATGTGCCTAACTTTTATATCGTACTGGAGTCTGGCATTGTGGACCGTTTCGTTATATTTTTTTTTGTCTCGACGTCGGCTTGCCTGTTCTCTACAGTATTTTTTTAAGAAGGCCGTTGGACCCTGGGTTAGGCACTGGCACTGTATGAAGGATGTATTCCTCCATCCCAACGTGGATAATTTCAGTTATCGATGAACGGACAGACAGACGGTCGATAAATCCGAGTCAGCGAAAGAATACATCTTTTCAAGGAAAGTTGGAGAAGAAGTCCCAGAGTCCGTCTCAGTCCAGTCCCTGGGTACGTTTCTGCTGCCACAGCGGATTCTCACCGAATCCTAACCTCCACAACAACGTGATCTGTGTTACCCAGGGGAGACAGGACAGCAGAGGGGTGAGGAACAGGACGGGTGGTCAGAAAGAGATCCAGCAGGCTACCGGCGTGTGACGAAACCCGGGGGAAAAGTAGAGCTCGTCACCACCTAGGTCAGTCCTTAAGTAATAGCGAACGTTTCAATTGCACGGCCTGTTGCATCGGTCTTATTTGTGCCCAACCAGAGGTCATTATGGGCGTTAAAAACTCCGAGGACAACTATCTCTTAAGCTGGATGATTGATATCAAGGAAGTCGATCTTGGCAGCGAGGGATTCAAGTAGGTCATCCCAGTTATGGTCCGAGGCAGAGCGACAAAGGCAGCAGATATATTTGGGGAATTTCTGGAGATGAGGTGAAGCCACAGAATGACCTTCTGGTCTGATTCCAAAGAAACGTCTCTGGAGCAGCAAATACTGCTGCCAAAGCCACAACTCCCCCGTTTTTCGTCAGATTGGAGTGCACCTCGTAACGATGGTTAATGGAAGGAGAATCTGAGATGTTTGTCTCCACCACGAAAAGCAGGGCGAAACGATTAAATTGCGGGTAGTGATGAACAGCAACAATGTTGCTGTTAATCCCGCAGGTGTTCGTGAAATAAATTTTATCATCGATGTTGATCCGTCGAGTGCACCTTCCACCCGACAATGGAGTGTGTTTACTTCCCGAATTCTTGGTACTCGAGGGATCCATCTTCATTAATTTCCGTGTTGAGGAAGAAACTGTTGACAGCCTATGCAAGTGAGGTAGATAACGAATCGAAATCATTTCTCTATAATAGTAAGGTTTAAAGACAGATGAATGGGGAAATCTGTGTTGTATGGAATATGGCTAATAGGCTCCTAGAAACACCCAGGGTTTTCCCACCCGCCCAACTGGTTTAAATACCCGAAGTGGGTTTCGCTATCTATTTGGTCTTAATCTACCCCTGAAGATGCTAACATGTTAGCCAATCACATATCGGGGATTCAAAAACCGGTTTAGACAGTGGTACATACATGTAGTGGTTATACCACACATTTTTTTTTATACTCCAACTACCACGAAGGCCTAAGTCCTAAGCACCCATTGGGTACTGTGGGGCTATGGGGGGATACATGGGAAAGGAGTGGGGACGCGACACGGTCTCTGGCGAGGGAACACGTGTGCATGCAACATGCACACATTCTGGCTCCGCCTACCAGAACCGCCGGGTGGTACCTCCGCGTTCGACAGTCAGAGACCATCTACCACCTACGGATAATCACAACATCCACAGCCAAGAGAAACATTTCTCCTGGGATGGGACTCGAACCCGCACAGCGCACGGCGACTGATCAGGAGACCGAAGAGTCTACTACTGCGGCCACCGCTGCTGAACTGGAAGCCAATATTCCTTTAAAGTACCTTCCTTTGTGCGCTGTGTTCTTTCTACACGTAATTGATTTTTGCGAGTCGTCCATAACTAACACTTGTCATTTAGTGCCAATATACTTTCACGTCAAGTACCAAATATCGTCGACGATGGCTTTTCCCCGCCATTACAACGTTATGAGAGCGTTCGCAGATGACTAGTTGCCAAAATATATCGCCTCAATTTATGTAATCCTTCCCTCTATCGGAAACCGTTTATTATGGTATGGTTTCCCTTTTTTCGGTTGCAATAATTCGGAAAAAATATATCGGTCAATTCCAGACCTGATCAGAGACCTTTAGTACTCGTAATTTGTCAAGTGAGCGCTTTCATTAATATTATTTATTGAGGAAGGTATTTCGGAGGGTGACTGAGAGGGGCTATAATAATAGTTAAGAATGCCTATACAACGCACAACGTTATTTCCAAGACCTTGTATTCTACCATTCTGTACTCCTGTTCAGTCAAATAAGGGAATAATATTAAGTACAGTTTAAATGTGAATTCAAAAAAAAAACAATACAGTCCTTCTAATTGATCAAAGCCTCTAAATTTTGTGCCATGTAATTCTAATTTGATAATCTCTGTCGTCTTGTTAAGGTCATCTCATAATTTGTATTTCCTGTTTATACTGTCACTCAATTAGTATAATATACTACTACTACTACTATAACAAGTGATAAAATGATCAGGCTCTTCTGTGTGGCGACTGCGCGTATTGTTTTGGTGACAAAGAAGCATTTAGTTTTCGTACATTTACGGTGACAGTTAAATGTTAAATATCATGTAGCCTTTTTGTGATTGCTCAGAATGCCTAGAGTGCGTAGAATTTGCCGGGTGTCTCAGCTAAGTAACTTTGAGATGGGTCGAATTGTCGGATTGCGTGAAGTCGGTCTATCGACAAGAGAAGTTTCTAGGAGGACCAACAGATTCTTATGCAGTATACAGCAGTGTGAACGAACGTGGACTCTGGAAGGCCGAGGACAGCGAGCGAGGGGCTCTGGACGTCCCAGAGTGACCACAGAGCGACAAGACCGCCGATTAAGGCTTCTGGCTCTGAGAGACAGATTCAGAAGTACTCGAGCCATCGCTAATCAACGATTTTAAGAGCATGGAAGGATGATTGGAATGCGTACGTATATCGCATCAACCTTGGCCACCACGATCGCCTAATCTATCTCCAATTGAACATGTCTGGGACATGATAGGTCGCAACACCTTTCACAGACTTAGCTCTTACTCACGAAGTTGCAATAGTCTGGATTGAGATACCCTAACAGGATATCGATCACCTTATTAGCACGATGCCCAGGCATATTAATGAGTGTATAAGAAATCGTGGAACCTCAACACATTATTGAACCAGCTTCTGCAGTCAGTTGACGAATCATGCTGAAAATTTTATCATTTACTAGTAAGGGACACTGAACATATATGCCAAAAATTATTCAAATCGGATAAACGTACGTAGGTGTTTACCTCTTTTTGTCAATCAGTACATATATAGTACATATTTTTGTTTACTACTTTCAAAATCCAAGGGTTTGTTTATTTTTACATTTATTGTGTATAATTCAGTTAAAAAAAGTTAGATGGTGGATTAGCGTGTGCTAAAGCTGGCCCCTCAGATTATACCATTGTTTTTGTGAATAAAGGCATTTATTACTATTATGGATAGGAAAAAAAATAAAATAGGCAACGGGGGCTACGATTCAATCTGCTGCTCCATTACCAACTAGCCACTTCTCAAACCGTGAGGTATGCTACTAGTTGGTCCGCAAATCTTGAGCCCTAAGTAGACGGGGGAAATCCATGATGACCGCTTTCTGCATTCTTCCTGCTAAGATGCTTACCTATACTCGGCATACCGGTATGGATTTAATTGCAGACAGCAGTGTTCCTCATCCCACCCAAGGAACTATTGACCATCACTAGCAGACAGACAGTGTGGTCTTGCCAAAGGCTGTAAACCTGATCGAGGAGCTCCTGAGATTTGGTTTGTCTTCCTTGCTCCTTCGAGACGATGTTTATTTTGACCGGAGCCGACAATTCAATAACGAACATTGCCTTCTGTTTGTCGCTCAGGAGGACTATGTCGGTCTCATTCACACCAGCTCCACCGTGGGGAGCGAGTAGTTCCAGTAAGTCCGGCATTTCTCGTTCTCCATAACGGACTCAATACCCCTGGAGCATAGAGCAGCACAGGTGTTACATCTATACCTATAAGTGCCTCAAATGGTAGTATAGCACTCCCAGTGTTGCGTTGTGCGGATAGACGTAATCAGTACCAGCGTACACTTGACACGTTGACAAAGGATGCAATCACGTGTCTGGCGCCTGTCGACATGCTCTGCAGTTAATAGGCACATCGGTTTTGAAACAAGATAGCCCATTCGAGGATGATGTTAGAAACATCTTGTTCTAGTTGCCGCCTAAAACTCTATGGACTACACTGCATGTGTCCAACACGACCGACTTTGTATGGGTAAGTATAATGCAAACGGTAATCCTAGTTGTTGCAGTGATGTTCTTCATTTTATAGGTATTTCTCCATTTGCGTCGATCACAATGGGGATGATGACCACTGTTTCCATGTCCCACATTTGGCGGATTTCATCGCTCAGGGGTATGTAATTATTGATTTTTTCTCCATGTGTCTTTTCTGGGGTGGCTCCCAATGGCACAGCGAAATCTACTATGTATGTTTTGTTTTCATTTTTTAGAGTGAGCTCGATATCCGGTATGTTATTACTTATCGGTCTATCGGTTATAATTTTTCGATTCCAGTAGAGCCGGGTTTGTTCATTTTCGCACACAGCAGGCGGCTCGTATAAATAGTACGGCACCATTTCTGTCAATCCCATGTACTTTTCACGAAGGCTTTGGTGGATTATTTTCCCGATTCTGTTGTGCCTGTCTAGGTAGGATTTCGGTGCCAACATTGAGCAACCAGCGATGATGTGGTCCAGGTATTCATCTTTTTCACCGCACACACGGCATCTGATATTGTCTTGTCGTTCCCGCATTAAGTTTCTTTTGTATACTTTAGTTGCGATGACCTGGTCTTGGATAGCACATATGAAACAGGTTTCCAGAGCGGAGGTAGGCCGTGGACGCGAAGGTATCGATGTTATCGTTCTCGAGTAGGGTGCGGTATTCACCATGAAGTGCCTTACTCTTCCATTGTTGCAGTTGTTGCTCGTGCATGAGCTGGTCCACGCTAAGGCTGAAGTTTTGGTCTGCCAGTCTTAAAGGAGTATCCTTGTCTGCCCTTATGATAGCGTGGCGAATCTCACCGGACGCAGCCCTGGCGAGGAAGTACTTCCTAAGGTTTGTTACTTGCCTGTTGTGGTTAATAACCCAACATTCTAGGCAAGTGGAACCTTTCCAAGGATGAACGTGGATGATGCGCTCGAAATTTGCTGAACTCTTTTCTGGTTTTGATATTAAGGCTTTTGAGTTCTGTTTACGTCCAGTGAATTACTCAAAAGCTATAAGAAACTGCAGATGTGGCATATGTGTTAACTGCTTTTGCCATGTTTCTGGCAGACAGCTTAGTCTTCAGTATCGACCGGATTCTTCTAACGTAGATGTCACTTACTGTCTGCTTTGCTGCTGTATGATCTAAGCCACTTGCTTGCAGATAACCAAGATATTTATACCTTCCTCCCTCTTCAATTCCAGCGATGGTTTGCCGCTCAGCAACTTCATATCCCGCGTGATGTACCCACTGGCCCTTCTCCATCCCGCTGGACCTACATTTGTCCAGCCCAAATGACATTTTTCTGTCGCGACTGAATCGAGTGACACAAGTCAGAAGGTCGTCGAGGTGTTTTTTGGATTTTGCGTACAGCCTTAAACCATCCATGTACCAAAGGTGGCTAATATTCTTGTCTGACTGTGCCAGTATATAACCTTTGCGGTGTCTATTCAACATAGTTGTCAGGGGTCATAGCGACAGACAGAACCATAGCAGACTTAATCCCTCTTCTTGGAATATTCCCTTTTCTATTTTAATGATGCCTGCATAGACACTTTTTTTATTGGTGTTTAAAACAATTTTGGTTTTCCACTGAGACATAGCGTAGTTCAATAAATTCAGTACATGGGGCTCGACTTTAGAAAGCTGTAACACCTCGGATAGCCAGGAATGAGGCACGCTATCAAACGCTTATTGATAGTCTATATACGCTGTGTGCAAAGAGCCTTTTAAGCGTCTCGCGTGAGATGTGATGACCGTATCTATTATTAATTGTTCTTTACACCCTCTGGATCCTTTTCGACAACCCTTCTGCTCTTCGTCCAACAGATTATTTCTTTCCAGGTGGCTGTATATTTTTCCGATAGGATGGACGTGAATATTTTATATATTGTAGGAAGGCAGGTGATCAGTCTATATTTGGATGGATCTTCTGAGGGTAGCTTCGTTATTGGTAACAAATAAGTGATACCACTGGTCATGAATGGTGGTGGTTCTTCAGGGTTGGACAGTACTTGAGTATAACATCGGGCTGGATGTTCATGAATGGTCTTGAATTGTTTTTACCAGAAATTCTGGATTTTATCCTGTCCAGGTGCCTTCAAATGCAAGGTCTTGTTTATAGCCTTGGTTACTTGGTCGGTTGTCACTTCCCATTCCAACATAGTACGGATGTTAGATGTAGACCTCTTCTCACCAAACAGCCATCTGGTTTTGTTGTGAATCACTCGGTTTCCCCAGATTTATTTCCAAAACGTCTTCGTGGCCTCTGGTGTGGGAACCTTATTTTCTTGCAGAATTTGAGGCTCCTGATCTTCAGACTCTAGATTTTTATGAAAGCTCCTTTCACTCCTGCTAAACTGACTATTGTGTTGATGTCTTGCGTTACTTATTATTATTATTATTATTATTGTTATTATTATTATTATTATTATTATTATTATTTCAGTGTTTCCCTCTTGCCCTATTGTGGCAGTTTTAAACAAATCCAGATCTCCACCCGAGATCAAAGCGATTCACCATAATACCTTGCAGATAATGATAGTAATAATAACTATTATTAATATTATTATTAATATTTGTATAGTATAGTACATATATTCTCGTGTTTTATTTTAACGCATTGCAAGTTTCAATGTAATGGTCTAGCTGCTCATCCATTTAAAATTAACGATGCTGTCATAATTCATTTTTGTCTTGTAGTAATATGTACAGGGTGGCCCATCCATGTGTGGACGGATATTACTCACAAACAAATACATTTTGGGAAAATCTATTGATGGCATATTATACAGTACATTTGAGGGCACATCTCTAAAATATTGGTAATTTTACAGTGTGTCCCAATTTTGACCTGCATATCAAAGTTGCGATTTTTCAAATGGAATGCCTCAAACTTTATTGCATATTTGGATAAACCAATTCAAAGGAAGAAGATTAATATAACATACAATGGGTTTTGGTGATTAGCTACTGAGATGTAAGGTGTTTTGTCCAGAAAAACCGTCCACTTCGGCAAACCTTCAATCCGCCATTTTGAAATTTTGAAAGCTGAATTTTGTATCGAAAAAAAGCACATCTCAGCTTTTATCTTTTTTGTTAATTTTTAAGATTTGCATTTTTGCTCATAACACGGTGGTCAAAGCGCGAATTGTACTTTTTACTCAAAAATATCAAATGCATCACCCTGTATATTGGTGCAAGTTTGAATTAAATTTTTTTATAAACTTTTTTTTGTATGAGGTTTGATTCAGATAAAATTACTAGATTTTGAGTTATTAAGCTTTTAATAGAACAACGCACCAGAATTAAGGAAACAAATCACATCATCCATGGAAACAAAAGACAAACAGTGGGCTAGTTCCATATTGCCACTAAGAGTACAGATTTGACGTAAAAATTAATAACAATCAGAACAGTATAAATCAGCTTCAAGCGAAATAGAGAAAAACAACTATAACAACAACATAAACAAACAACTATCACTAATCAAGACCTAATCAACAAAAACTGCTCGAAAATCTCTGCACCATGTTGAATACACAGCCGTAGTCTTTGGATAAATGCCCATTGCACATCCCTCAGCATGTGTTCCCTCATGTTCAGAAAAGCATCCTTAATCCTTTCCTTCATATTTTCCGGGGTAGATGGTGGATGTCTATAAACCTCTTGCTTAACGTAGCCCCATAAATAGTCCATCGATGTCATATCTGGTGATCCAGGAGGCCAAGATATAGGCTCATCACAGCCGATCCAACGATTGTTACTCCAAGTGTCCAAATAGTTACGCACATGATTATGATAATGCGCAGGTGCGCCGTCATGTTGTACATATGCATCCGAGTTTGGAGGTTGACATCATCTAAAAGCAAAGGCAAATGCTCGAATAAAAAATTCAAGTATTCTGTACCTGTTAATCTGTTCATTAGAGCTCCATTTATTTTGGAAATCTATTTGCCTAATCCAGTAAGGCTTTTTCCATCACATAATAGTGCATGTTATGCCTGTTGACAACACCAATGCTGCTAAAAGTTGCCTCATCGCTAAAAAGAACCTTATCAAGGAAAGTAGTGTCTTCACTCACTTTACGTAGCGTTATTCTACTAAACTCCATTTGAGCTGCGAAATCCTGAGGACGAAGGCCTTGATGCAAGCATAGGTGATATGGATGGTACCTACAGTTATGCTGGGGAATAATCCTTTGGACAGAAGTTCTGCATACCTATATCAGTTTCTTCTCCAATTTGTCGTGTACTTAAATGGGGATTTTCCTGCAACTTTAATAGAACCTCCAACTGACTCGCCTCATTGGTGACACTTGCATTATTTATACATTTGGTACTATATCCCACTGCTCCACTTGATTCAAAACGTTATCGTAGTCTGGGAAATATTTCTGGCCTTGGATATCGCATAATAGGATACCGTTGCTTATAAATGCGAGATGCTAGGAAACTATTTTTTTGGCCTTCGTCCAAAACGAACACCATATTCACCAGTTCTTCTTTATAAAAAATCGTTTTTAAACACGTTTTTATTATACCTAATGTTCACAAAGCTAATTTTGACATTTTGTAACTAATCAACAACTTATTTGTTTCCAAGGATGATGCGATATTAAGCCGTTCCATAAAAGACGTGCTAAATACCGAAAAAATGGTCGTAAAAACCTTTAAAAATTGAATCCAGACTTGCACAAATATGCAGGGTGATGCATTTGAGGTTTTGAAAAACTACAATTCGAAAAAGTAACAAATAAGATAAAAGCTGAGGTGTATAAGTTTTTTCTGATATAAAATTCAGCACTCCAAATTTCAAAATGGCGGACCGACGTGGGGGGTTTATCTAGATAAAACACCTTATATCTCAGTAGCTAATTACCAAAATCCCATAGTATGTAATATCAATTTTTTCTTTCGAATTGGTTTATCCAAATATGCAAGAAAATTTGCAGCATTCTATTGGAAAATCCCTGTATAATAGCCAATATTTTAGAAATGTGCCTCTAAATGTCATGTATATCATGCTATAAATATATTTTCCCAAAATGTATTTGTTTATGAGTAATATTCCGTCCACACATGAATGGGCCATCCTGTATGCAAATAGTTACCTTTTGCTGAATACTGGCGTATCATAAGTTTCCTGGAAACAAGAGTTACGCAGCTGGGGTATCGTAGAAATTGTAAATGGCACGACCGGCGTAGTACTATACTACCTGCTGATGATACGTTAATTCGTCATGTTACCT